TGGGTGTTGACTTCTATGTTCACTTTTATATATTTATATTTACATACGCTGTATCTCTGATATTGAGCACTTTATTCCATAAATGTAGCACACCTTAAAACTATATTTCTTCATATATATATATATATATATATATATATATATATGTGTGTGTGTGTGTGTGTGTGTGTGTGTGTGTATTTCAAGGACACACGGCACAGTGGATAATGGCGTTGTTTAGATCCAGTGACAGGATCCAAAGAGTATGAGCTCAATACCCGGTTAAGGCAGTGGAGAACTTGGAGAGGGGAATTAACAGGAGATAACTGATAACTGACATCCATTAAACATGGCACGTGGAACTAGAACAGTCTACCCCAGAGGACGAAATAAAGGGTTCAGTTCGACATTCCAACCACCTGAAGAAGTAAGAAGAAACGTTGCAATAAATATGGTGACAAAGATGAGGACAATGGTCCGAATAATGTAAATAGTGCGTTTATATATATATATATATATATATATAGAGAAAGACATATTTTATGTTTAACGTTGTTATTTTATAGAACAAAACCATATACGCTGACGTGCCTTTACCGCTTGAGCTACAGCGTATATGACGGTTCCGTATAGGATGCAGGTTCGAAATTGTCAAAGAACGAAAATTTTCTATGAAAATTTCTCGGACATTCAGGCCGGTAAATGTTATTTAATACTGTTTATCATAAACAGAGCATTTGCTTAAATACTTGTATCTATAAAATAACAACGTTAAACATAAAAATATGTCTTTAATAAATAAATTGTCGGACCTTGTCCATTTCTTAATATATGACGTCATTTGTTTACATTCGATACGCCAGAGCAGTTATGAATGTACGAGATTCATGGAAAGTTGGAGTTTATAAGCAGTAAATTCGACCTTGTCTACCGATTGGTTCTTTGTAGCTCAAGCGGTAAAGGCACGTCAGCGTATATGACGGTTCCGTATAGGATGCAGGTTCGAATCTTGTCAAAGAACGAAAATTTTCTATGAAAATTTCTCGGACATTCAGGCCGGTAAATGTTATTTAATACTGTTTATCATAAACAGAGCATTTGCTTAAATACTTGTATCTATAAAATAACAACGTTAAACATAAAAATATGTCTTTAATAAATAAATTGTCGGACCTTGTCCATTTCTTAATATATATATATATATATATATATATATATATAGAGAGGGAGAGAGAGAGAGACTCTAGAATAATTTGAAACATAACCGTTACCACCTAGCATATAACCGTTAGGATAATACCTCGTTAACTATAATGCAACATTGACCAGAATTTATAAATATAAAACACATGGGTTGAAGATTACTTACAGGCATGAAACAGACTGACGCCACATCGTGTTCATTTCAGTGCCCACTTTTATATTCACATACGCTCTCTCACTGATATTGAGAACTTTCACTGATAAATATAGCATTTTTTTACACAATAATGTTTACCATGCACAAGCCCGAAGATCCACTCAAGGTAGAGGGTTACAGCATAAAAGAATCCGTTTATTCGGATATGAGGGGAAGAGAGCGGTTAAACCGAGACATGAATCGGTTAAAATTATAGTGATCGGGAAAGCATCCTCTTGGGAGTCAGTTCCACAAAGCAGCGATTTATGAGAAGAAGCTGTTCGAGTGGAATTTACATCTCATCGGGGGGGGGAATACGAACGGAATGGAAGTGGTTTGAAACGATATGAGTGTCATGGCCGATCTTAGACGTGAAGGATAAATCTGGTGGAACTAAGGAATATAGACCGTGTGAACCCCTTTCATGGAAACAGTGCTAGAACAGAGAGAGGTTTCTGATTTTTCGTTTGTAAGAAAGGGGTTGTAGGGTGGAAACTAATTCGTTATTCACAAGGAGGTGACGACGCATGTGAACTCTGTCCAGACTCAAAAGCGGAGTCTGGGAAGCTCCTGTCCATATATGGCCGCAGTACTTCATTTTAGCTGTGATCTGGTTGTTGTAACGGTAAAGATGAGCAGGGAGTCAGGAACTTGCTGGAGGCGTACAGGAAACAGACTATTTTTCCAGGGTGGTTAGCGATGAATCATGTTCAACTTGAGGTCTGGTTTGAGTTTGTTCCAATATGCATTTTTCTTGTGTTCGCACAAGAGCTTTCTTTTTTTGGACGCAGAGTGTGTAGGAACTGTCCAAATGTTCTATAGTTCCGAGCGCTTTCGGCTTTTAGCCGTTATCAAGGATGATTTTATTTTTTCAATTTGAGTGTGTGCGTTATGTGTATGTTTTTAGTGTGTTATAGAGATGTTTTATTTTGCTAACATGGTTAGCACATTGTGGCCTAGTTCGTAGTTAATATTGTTAAGGGTTGGCTTTTTCTTTTTTTTATTGTTAGGGCTTCCATTATTTTTAATCTTTTTTTATAAGTAGATGAGGTTATTATTTTTGTGTTTTCTACTAGTATGTTTCGAATGGAGTCTAGTAGGCTTGGGTGTGTGTTTAAAAAAAGATTAAAATAATGGACCGTAGTACCTTTGTCTATCGTTTTTAATGAAATATGCATAAATGAAGGATTGCTACCTAAATACGCAATATATATATATATATATATATATATATATATATATATATATATTGATAGGATAAGAACAAGGTAAGAAACATATTTATCCTAACATTTTCGGATTCTTATCCATACTATATATATAATATATATATATATATATATATATATATATATGATGGGTCATGAAAAGTAATCACATCTTTTATTATCTTATTGTTTTATAAAAACAATTCTTTTATATTTTCAGATGTAAAATGTATTTGCAGTATTTATTTGAATAACATTTTGAAACTAGTTCATCCCTAGCGTAAAAAAATGACGACTATGTTTAAGTAATTTTGCAATTTCATTGGTTATATTTTCTGTCTACTCATGGGATTTTTTATTTATACAACTAAATCCATTGTCGCATTATTATTAAAATGTTCCACTGACTTGTGACCTTGTGTCAACTTAAGCTGAACTTATTATTTAGGCCTTGACATGTTTGCATAGTGAATTCTCTAAACTTCTTTCTTCATCTAAGCTGCTGTCGATTCACTGTCTATCCATAATGCATCTAATTATTTCTAAGCTAATATCCAAGAGCCACCCAGGGTAGAGGTATTTTTTGAAAAAATTTATTCGTTTTTTACGGTTTATTAAACCTAAAAAGTTACAGGGAAACATAATGTAGAATAAGAAATAAGGAAGCGAATGTTTAGCCGTGAATATATTCAGCAAATGCTACTGTTGCTACTGCTCCCCCTGCTACTCCTCTTGATGTAGGAGTATTTTTAGCTCTTTTGTCCGACGGCCGAGTCCAAACTTGTAGGGAAATATTCTCTCTCACAACAATAAGTGAGCGGATACTCCCAAATCAATCGTCAGTGAGATATCACTGAGTGAGCATGGGTAGTGTGTGACCATCCCACGCTTAATCACAGAGCTAGCAGTCTATTCATATTTCCTGCATATCTCATCATCTAAATCTATCAGCATTCCTACAAATGCGCCCTGTAGTCCCCCCTCCCAAATAGTTCTAATTTGTCTCTATGTGCCTTCTGGCGTTTTCCAAATCTAAAGTTACCATTTTTAAGGAAAATGGAATCAAGCATGACAATTATAATCAGATAGAAACAATGAACACTTCTAGAACGCATAATGAGAAAAGAAGGTTTGGAGAATTTGACACTCACAGAAAGTATCAGAGGGCAGAGGAAAACTGTGAATAACTGACCTCACGAGATTGTCTAAATGGATATCAGAACAGCCAGTGGAACAAATAGCAAAAAGACCAGCATTGCTTAGAGCCCCAAAAGATAGGAAGTTATGGAGAGCCATGATCCCATTTGTCCTGAAGAAACAGAGCGAAACGGCATGTCACCGATTTAACGAGCTTGTGCAAATGGATGGCAGAACAGGGAGAGGGAAGGATAGTAAAAAGACAAACATTGCAAAAAAAAAAAAGATAGGAAGTTGTAGAGAGCCAGAATCACCTATGCACTGAAAAGTGAAGGCACAAGAATAAAACCACTGTTAAAACGCCGAAAAAGATCTTGATGAAGAAGCTGATTGAGATGGCGAAAGAGCATTGTTATATAGGAATAAAGTGTCTCTATTGACTCTTGAGTTTGAACATAGATCGCCAATGAACAAACACAGGCGATCCCATTATTGAATTGAGTGGATCAAATGACCATAGAGAAAACGCATATATAGGAAGTCAAGTGACGTCTAAATGATCTCCATTTTTAGTCTATCGTCTATTGCTATTCGAATCGCTATTTCTGTTCTATCCTCTATTACTATTAGGAGCGCTATTCTCTACTCTATTCACTATACTATTTCTCTATTCATATCACTATACGGATTACTATTCAAGCGAGTATTATCGAGCAAGTACAATTAGTGCGAGTGCTATTCGAAGGCGTCTGACACCAGTATTGTTCAACGGCGTTACTATAGTTGCAACTGCGATTACAAAGTCTCTACTACAACGAGCATCACGAAAGTGACAACGAGTGTTCGTTGACACCACAAAAAGTTTGCAAAATAAAAGGGGCGTTATAATGAAGGAGTATTTCGAATTAGAATAACGTATCATTGTTCAAAAAAGGCTTTTTTTTTTTCGGCGGCTGTGAAAGGGCGATAATAAACGGCTGCATACTTTCCGGACAACTTTCGGATGCCCTTCCTGTAATTTTGTTTCCGTATAGTAATATATATCGAATGAATGAATGAGTTTCATGTATGAATTGTCTGGGTTTTCGTGTGGTTATCATTATTAGACGCCAAAGTATTCAGACTAGCGTCCTTATCTTGGTTGCTTTCGTCAAAACGTTTAGGATGCGGAAATCTTTGGTTTTCAGGCGCCCGCCGAAGCTAGTAACCTTTCGGGTTCCCCGTCTGTAGATTACATTGCCCTTGCCAGAGGAAATCTCGTACCGGTTAACAGCTGATTAAGAGAGAGAGAGAGAGAGAGAGAGAGAGAAGGCATTTGTGAAACTGGTAGAGTTACTAGTGATTGAGAGGTCAATCCTTGGATCAAGTGATTCACAGAATTGACGCTGCTTCAGGTGAAGAAGCAAGCGAGACATTCCGGTAGGAATTAAGTTGTAAATGTTGGCCGATACGAGATATGCCTTAAGCGTGGAAAGTAGAACGGGAAAAATTGGATTGAATAAAAATTTCGGTCCGAAATTCCAGCAAGGATAATAGTCCGCCAGACATCTATAGAAAAGGGGACAACTTCATGAAAAATAAAAATAACTACTTCATATGAAGTCGCTGTGTAAATCCCACAGGCTTCGGTGATCGAATCATTGGTTACATCTGAATGTTTGCGAGTGCTTATGCATAAATATGTATATGTATATAGAATGACAGAGAAGGGATAAAAGGGAAATTGGTTATGATTTTATTAAAACAAAAATAAGCTACTTTACTACATGACGGGTATTTTAACAAAGTAATTTGTAAATGTCTGCAATCATTTAAAGTTACACTGAAACCAGATAGATAGATAGATGGATTATATAGACAAATAAATAGTAAGGAGTATACCTGGGGAGATATTAATAGGCTTATATAGACAAACATGAAGATAGATAGATAGATAAAATTGACTAAAGTAGATAGATAGATAGATAGATAGATATGAAAAGACACATATATATATATATATATATATATATATATATATATATATATATATAGCTAGATAGATAGATATGACAAGACTGATAGATAGATAGATAGATAGATAGAGATAGATAGATAAAATTGACTAAACTAGATAGATAGATATGAAAAGACATAGATAGATAGATAGATAGATAGATAGATAGATTATATAGACAAATAAATAGTAAGGAGTATACCTGGGGAGATATTAATAGGCTTATATAGACAAACATGTAGATAGATAGATAGATAGATAGATAGATAGATAGATAGATAGATAAAATTGACTAAAGTAGATAGATATGAAAAGATATATATATATATATATATAGAGAGAGAGAGAGAGAGAAAGAGAGAGAGAGAGAGATAGATAGATAGATAGATATGAAAAAACTGATAGATAGATAGATAGATAGATAATGTAGAGAGTTTTTCTTCCACCTCGGGACCAGAATTAAAGAAAGAAAATAAAATAACCCGACACAGAAAAGCGCAAATCGGTTTGGAACGTCTCAGTGTTTGACAATTGCTGCGCGCTAAATTGCAGTCCACATACGTGAAAGCTTTCGAGGAATGTCGCTCCCGGTAAACGCATTTACAGAGTGTCAGCTGGGTGAATGTGGGACGTGGGTTGGAGCTGTTTGCAACGTGCAGGTACGCCCGGGACTATACATTCGGCCTTGCGATGTGATATATCTCGTAACAGTGTTACTATCGACACTTTTCTTACCTGCTGTACATGTGACCCAAAAAGCTTCAACACATTTTGTGTTACTGACACGCTGAGGGGTCGCCTTAACTTTTAATATACTTTATGTGTATATATATATGTATATATATCTATCTATCTATCTATCTATCTATCTATATATATATATATATATATATATATATATATATATATATATATATATATATATATATACATGTATGTATGTATATATTTGTGTATTTACGCAACAAATTTTTAAGCACGTTTGATTAAATAAATTACAAGAATTATCTCTGCTTATTTTTTATCATAATCCTTTCATATTCACTAATATTTTTTACGTTAATTACATTTTAATAAGGCAAGAAATGTATATATATATATATATATATATATATATATATATATATATATATACTATTTACACTGTTCGAACTATCATCCTCATTTTTGTTGCCATATTTATCATAACGTTTCGGCTGTTGTACGCTCCGCCCTTCTTCAGGTGGTTGGAATGTCGAAATGAACCCTTTATTTCGCTCGCCGGGGTAGACTAGTTCTAATTCCACGTGCCATGTCTAATGGATGTCAGTTATATCCTGTTAATTATTCAATCCAAGTTCTACACCGCCTTTGCCAGGTATTGAATTCACACTCTTTGGGTTCGGTCACTGGATCTAACTAACGCTTTTATCCACATTGTGATAAATATGCCAACAAAGATGAGGATGATAGTCCGAACAATGTAAATAGTGTACATAATACCTCATCTCAGAAATATATATATATATATATATATATATATATATATATATATATATATTCATACATGTTTCATTAAATGATACAGACAAGTGTTGTCTATTTATTTTACGTAAATTCTTTTCATAACGTCTGATAAACATGCACGTGTTTATCGTTGTTAAGAAATCATCCATGTAAACAATAACAGACTATCATCACTGTCTTGTCCGTATATTGCTTAATATATTGTACAGTAATTGACATTTTTTGATAATGGCTTATGTAAGCCGAAAGTTTAGATTGATTAAAAATATGGATCAATATTGTCATTTTCTTTCTTCTTAATGATAATGTTATTAAGCTTATCAGACGATATGAAAAGAATTTACATAAAATAAATAGACAACACTTGACTATATTATTTAATGAAACATGTATGAATGAAAAAATGCTGCCTAAATACACACACAATATATATATATATATATATATATATATATATATATATATATTACTTTAAACGTTACTTTTTGGGGATATTCGTATTTGAGTAATCGCTCCGCTTATCTTAAACAGTATTTTTTTTCGTTTATCGACCTGCGTACTTGAGCAAACTTGCTAAAGAAAATGTGTCTTCTAGCAAGATTTGAACCTGCACATCGCCGGCCCCCTTTCCTGGAGGAAACACTGTCTGCTCCCGCGAGCATTTACCGTCCGACTACGAATAAGCATCACAATAAAATCAAGTTTCTGTTTTACCTTTGAAGCACACTCGTTCAGATTTTTTCTCGAAATAAATATCTGCTCAGTGTTGTATTCGAAACGTAGATACAGAAATTTCCAAAACATTAATGGATTTCATTTTTTTAATCCGACATATTTTTCATCCATTTGTTGAATGACAACGAAAGACGGTTAAATTTTTTAATCAAATTTTCTTTGTTTTAAACCAAACGCTTGATATTAGATAGACATCTTTGTATCTTCTCTGGTTGAAGGATACATCCTAATATTTTCGTTTTATTCTATCATCATCATGAGAGACGTGACTTAGAAAGATACAAGGTTTATCTATCTGTCTGTCTATCTATCCATCTATCTATCTGTGAACGTACCCAAGATACATTTTCAAATTCTTTAATTTCGAACTGTCTTTGAAAAAAAGAAATAAAATACTATTCTGAACACACAGAGAAATATATATGGGTGGCTGGTGACCCGTATATGCGGATGTCCGTCTAGTAGAGTGACTAGACATTCCCTGTTGCAGACGCCTGCTCAGGCATTTGTTTTTGTTCAACACCCAAAGAGCTTCCCTGTGTTTTATACTGCAACTATGCTGAACGGACCTTCGTTACAGTTTCTGGTAGAGAGCGCCTTATCTGGCGTGAACAAGGCCAGCACGTTCACACCCTCGGTCACGATGATTGCTAACAACAACCATCGACGGCTTCCAAAGGGTAACGTCTACCCAATTTCACTCACAAGACTTGGGTCAACCCATGTTATGGTTTTCAGGAACTTTCCAAAGGTACCACACGCCGGGGACGCCTCCTCCAGATAGATAGCATCAAGAAGACATCTTCATGACAAAACGAAGATGGTGGGATTTGAACCCGGGTCTCATGCCTGTCTATCCTATTTTCTTTTCTCTCTCTCTCTCTCTCTCTCTCTCTATCTCTCTATCTCTCTCTCTCTCTCTCTCTCTCTCTCTCTCTCTCACACACACACATATATATATATATATATATATATATATATATATATATATATATATATATATATATATGCCAATGCTGACCGTCATTTATCGTTCACGATAGGAGAGTCCACTATATGTGTATGTGTGTGTGCGTGTATGTGTGTGCGTGTGTGGATAGCGGCTCGGATTGAGGAATTGGAGAACCGGGTTCAAACTCCATGCGAGTTCATTACATTCACTTACGTCCTAATACTCTTCTGTTCCCTCTCTAACTCCGCTCCATGGATAAATCGCAGGACAGATCGTTCGCGAATCCCGTGACCAACCAGGGTCGTAGGTGCACCACATATAATACAGCCGCTGTAGAATTGGTGTTTCTTGGGCAAGATAGTATAACGGAGCCCAGCATTCCATTACTCCACCGTGCCTCCAGGCAAGGATCCTACAGCCTTGGGTGGAGAACTAGGAGAAGGACAATTCTGAATTCAAAACCTGCAGAGGGTCTTTTGTGGATCTTGTAGTATACTGTGCACCAGTTCCCTGTAACCGTCTCCTCCAAAAGGAGTGGTTGGTGCTGCACAAGCCTTCACCATTATAATCAAACGATATCTGTTGTTGGTTCTAAGAACTGAACTGCTTGACCGTCATACGTCGAAAACAACGAGATAGTCCAGTATATATATATTTATATATATACAGTATATATACAGATGTTTTAGTAGACACAGTTTTGTTTTGTTTTTAGACAGTGTGAATTACGTCTTCCAGCCAGCATATTCGAGAGATGTAATAAAAAAAAATGTACGCTGCAGAAGAATTTAAACGTTTGTAAGAGAAACCAATGTCTGATCCAATGTGCTTTAGAGACTTCGGCCACAGCTGCACATCAAGTCAGTGTTTTGGCGCCAAAACTTGTCCCAACGCTTAATCCCATATTGAGTCAGTGTGACTTAGCACTCCCACAAGTCTGTCTTGCCTTTGATGCTCACTGAAACGTTCACTGTTTTGTCATTTTTGACGATTGTGAAAATATCAAAACTCTTCAGAAACAGTTACACTTATTTGAGGTACAGAATCTGTTATAATTTTCAATGCATCAAAAGTTGCTGCACCAATTCGAGCACTGTGCAACTGTGCAGTTCCGGAACAATCACCATTTAGAGAAAGTTCAATTGCTAAAGCTTTACATATTACCACAAAATAACGTAATATAGCAAAACATTTTAATGCCATGTCCCTTCAAGATGTAATCAACTATGATTAGCCGGACAGTTTTATTATCAGTGAATGGCCAATGCTTTATTTAAAAATCATTTCAGTCCATTCAATGTAGTAAATCCCCTAAGTCACAAGAGGTTACTGAGTGAAAAATAAGAAAAAAAAAAAAAGATAAACATTACGAAGGAGCAATAACAAAAGAAGAGTAACCAGGAAGACAGTAGATAACGATTGACATTGCATTTAAATTTTTGAAGGTCAAAGTTGGCTGGAAAACATGGAGCCGGAAGAGAGTTCCACAAGCGTGAAGTACGAGAAAAGAAAGAGTTAGCATAGAACTTATCAATTAAAATGTAAAATGATGAGACTTAGTTGCCAATCTAGTACGACGGTTAAATTCATGAAGTCTGGCGAAGATTTCATTCGATTTCCTTGTGAAATATAGAGGAGATGCCTCTTGTTCCCGTCTACACGGTTTAAAATTTATTGCTCTTCTATTAGACTGGTTGGCATTTAAGGTTAGGTCATTCTGATATTTAACCTGTAGGTGGTGGAGCGAGAGAGAAGACATAGTTTCATGAATTTGTGCGACCGTGAATTCAACAGACGAGACGAGAATTTAAACTTGGCTGGCTGATTCCATTTTATATCGGCCGATATCCGTCACACCACCTGCACGGGAAAGACTTTCATTGCTCAACAATGAAGACTTTCAAAGATTTCTTCTTTTTTTTTAATCAAAAATATTTGCGAATTGCTGGAAATATATAGATAGATCAGTTAAGCGCGATGCGTGGTACACGCTTGGACGATCATATGTCTTTCGATTCATGACTGACTAACCAGATGATTTTTTGGCAATAGATTGACATTTCTTTTTACGGTAGACTGGTTGCCAACCAGGGCTATAAGACCAAGTCCGTCCTGCTATTCAACAAATAGCTGAGGGAGAAGAGATTAATTCATAGCTTTCCCAAGGTTATTTAGGCGTAAGCGAACATAACGAACCATACCGGAATTCGAACTCGATTCTCCGAGTTTTCAAGCCGAGTTGTTATTCATCACAGTATATCTTCCCCAACTATGAGAAATGTCGTATCCTGAAACGTGTTTATACACATAATTATATATAATCACACTCATATCCATTCAAATAAATATGTTAGTTCTATCACTAACAATAAGCGCTATCCAATAAGCACTGCATATATATATAAATATATATATATACAATATATATATATATATATATATATATATATATATATATATATATATATATATATATATATATATATATATTATATTATATATATATATATATATATATATATATATAATAACCAAAGTATATAATTGGTATAC